AAAAAAAAAAAAAATTTAACCAACTCACAGCTACAACTTTAAAATGACAAAAGCTTATAATTCATAAAATACTTAATACATAGTTGGATACATATTGTACATTTTTTCGGCTTCCAAAGAAATGTTGATAATTACGCAATGCTAAAACATTCGAAAATTTGATAAAATGGTCACGGATCAAACAGAAATCAATAAAAATAACCCAACACCCCTTGAAAAATGTACTCCCACCCATATGCAAGCATTATAAACCGTAATCAGGTTTCCATCCGCGACACCGCGTTAAACAGCATCAACGCGTCACAGCTCAATCAGCTTAGCCGCTCTCCCTTAACCACCGTCATCACCGCGACTCTAGCCTGATTATGTTAATACGGGCCTCTTCGGCATTAGGGCTTTGATCCACCGGTGGTGGAAGGGGGTGCTGCAAATTATCAACATCGCGCAATTAGCTGTTTAGTTGCCGTTTTGAGGTATATCGGGGCCATCGAGCGGCGCTTCCATGTTGCGTCACCTGCTCACTGGCTCAGATCTAGTACAGTCATTACAAATCGATAGTTGCTATAGATATGTTGCTCCTATATTTTTTCAGTTTCAAAATTTATTTTTTGTCGTCTCGACACTTATATATAGATTAGCCTGAAATAACGTTAAAGGGTATAATCTCACGAGCAAAACTCATCACTACGACCCAAGGTATTGTATCGCTGTGACGATCTTTTTTATCGCCTATACGTCAATCCAATGTCACGTGTATTTTACGGCAGGGAAGGAATCTTTATAGTTTCCGTCTCATGTATACAGGACTCTTCTCCTGTTAAAATCACGACACTTTTTTTACTTCAATATTATTTTTATTGATGGATAAACTATTTTACGATTGATCCACTCACAAACATATAAATTAATCATAATCAATAAATACATTTTGAAACAATGAGTTTAAGTCACATCATGTGAAAATCGGTGTTTTTTAAGGGAAAAACTCGTGATGTGTCAAAAAAAGGAAAAAAAAAAAAAAAAAAAATGTTTGGACGAATATTTAGTTATCGTTCGGTACAGTCGTGTACACGATTGCTTTAAAATTTACATAACACAACGAGCGTTCTCTCATCTGGGAGAGTTGAACCGACCAACGAGACAATGTCAACAGCGGATGGAAGTATCCCTCGTGTAACACGATTTTTATTTGTTTGTTGTTTCGGAGGTGGGTATGCGCCGGATGGACCGATCTCCGAGTATAACTACACCATCGGGGCTCTGGGTGTACACCGATCGATAGCTAACGCAATTAGTTGTTGCTGTTGACTTTTAACGATGAATTTTCTCTCTATGCCGGTTTATCGTTGCATCGTTCGGGGGTGGTTTTTTTGTGCGAGGTCTCTTCGTTTTATGTGTTGCTTTGGGTTTTTCGTTTGTTACGTATGGCCATGTTCATTTCGCTGCAATCAGAGAAACTTGTTTATTACGAGGAATTAATGTGACGTGAATATATGTATATTGTGTCTGACTTGATCCAGAAGTTTTAGTTTTTTTTTATTTTGATTGTCGCCGAAAAAAAGTATTTTATTTCAATAATTCTATTTATAACGTGTCTTTTTAAATTTTTTCAGAAACTGTATTTTAAGAGCTCAGTCAGTCAGCCATAATATTACAAAAATGAAAATAAAAGACGAAAGTGATAAACGTTTGAACTGCAACTAATAAATATTTTTTTTTTTAATTACATAAAACTTGCAGTGGGAAAACAATATTTTTTTAATAGTGGTAAAACAGAACTCGAGCAAGCATTGCGCTGATTAGTTTATTATTTCTGAATTACTCCTTGTTTAATCAATAAAATAATAAATGCTAACTTTTTCTCATTTTAAAATGCAGGAAAAACATTACAAATTGCTTCTCGTTTGTGTATTACTCTAATTTTTACATGTTAAAAAATTTTTCAAAATTTTAAGAGAATCAAATAAATATTCATGTACCTACATAATTTTTTTGTAAAATATTAGTCTTAATAATTATTTAACAATATAATTAAAATTTTTTCAGTGGCTGTAGATATATGTTCACGAAATTCGACATTAGAAAAAGATCGAGTACACTTACTGCTGCATAATATATGTTATGTGTATGATACCAGTAAGGACACTAAATTATATTGTTGTGTATTTCAATATCAACGCATCTACCTGACAAAAATTCTCCAAACGTCAAAATATCAAGATGTAGTGGAAAGGAAAATTGTAAAAATGAAACTCTGTCCAAACATAACCTCTCTAGAACCCCATAACCTATAAAACAATATTTTCTACATCGCGTGAAATACTTTTGATTTTTCATTGATCTGCGGAAGGTGTAGCTTCGCAGCTGCGGCAAAGTTTCGCTTAATTCGCGGGGCCCATTCAAATCGGTGAGCTCCGAGCGCGGCAAAGCCGATAAGAGGGTTATAATAGTTCGGCGTTTCCGTTCGACTGTCCGAAAGTAATCGGATTATCTGGCCTTGAGTGTCCTTTGGAGCATAGATACCTCCGAAGTCCCAGAATACGTATAAATAATTGGTAACGGATTTATCGGACGCTAAGAAATTAGAGAAAAAGTGATTCGAGCGTTTGACTTGTTGTGTTGTATCGCGCAAAGTTGTGTTTGAAGTAATTGTTTTTGGATTTGTGGATTTTAGTTGCGTCATCATTATTTTTAAGTGTAATTGGCAAAAATACGTAATAGTAATCATCCACAAAGTCAAACATGTTTCTTGGATGTTTGATCAATTGGAATGTCTTATCGAATTTCGAAAGCATCTATATTGGTCCATCCGTAGGTCTTATTTATTCAAGAAGAATATTTAAGTAATTGATACATCGTATAATTAAACTTAGTAAAATATTAAAAACACTAATGCAAAAATTACAACAACCGCAGGTGTTTCTACCAATAAACTTCTATTTTTTAATAGTGTGCATATGCATAACCTTGTGAAATCATTACTCGAAAATATATGTTGTTCAACATAATTCAATTACATAGCTAATAAAGTGTTGCTTGAATAGCCAAGAACAGTTGACGGCGTCGATGTTGTGGATACAGTTGCGATAGCCTTTTTTTCGTTTTTGTATAAATTTTAATGACGATCGAACGTTTCTTTCATTTGTACGATAATCTTGACGGTGAAAAGTCGTAACAATAGCAACGAAATGGACTCGAAAATAATTTTTTCCGTCCTCGTTGTGAGCGTATTGGTTTTGGTAAGTTGTTCGTTCAATTATTTTATAATTATTAAATACAAATTAAAAAATACCTCAATTTGTTTGATACCACAGCTTATTTGAAAAAATCTAATGGTTTATTTTTTTTTTTTCAAAAAATGAAATCAACAATGTCTTATTACGTATGTTTTAGAGCCTTGAGGCAAAACCACTGGTCGAAAATATCGACGAGACTGCCACTGTTAAAAACAAACCCACTGATGGGGACTTTTCTACTGCCGTGGCAGAAAAAGACGTAGAAACAAACAGAGAGGATGCTGCACTCGCTGTGTTACCAATAGAAGAAGTATCCGCAACGGGCACGCAAACAGCCGGGGAAAATCCCAACTCATTGGACAAATTCATAAAGACAGTCTCCGACGGAAAAGATAAAGTTGTGGAGGTTGTGAAAGGGTGGTGGTCTAAGATTGCTTAAGTGACATGAGGGAACGTACTCGAAACGACACTGTTTTTTAAACGATATTACAATAAGCAAAGACATGTGATTGTGTTTCAATTTGTTATCAAATCATCAATTTATTGTTAAATACACAAAATATTTGTAGAAAAAAAGTTGAAAATAAAAACATCTGTTGATTTACACGCTGAATTTATTTTCGTAACTCGAACAAAAAAATTCAATTGTGTAAGTATAAAAGTTGAGGGACATAGCGCTTATAAAACGAATGAATTAGGTTTCCTTTATATTTTTGGCCTGAAGCATGTGAAAACAACATGTTTTTATCAATAGTCAATACAAAAGCATTAAATGTTTGAAGAAGCGACAAGGTAAATGTCAAACGTTATTTTCAAAAGTGTGATTAGCTGATGACATGTGGTAATCCAAAGAGAATGGTATAAAATTATCGGTTGCGTTTTATGATCTACGATTATTTGCCTACGAAAAACTATTCGATCAGAATACAGATATCATTTCGAATTCAATTAGAGCTTACGGAATTTTCTAGAGTTCATATATAGAGTTTCAATAATACAACACATTGCATAACGATGATAGAAATATTCCGAAAGTAATGACAAGAAATGTAAATTTGAATTTTAATAATGTAAAAGCTAAAATGACAAGTATGAAGTTATATGGGCATGAAATAAAGTCAACACAGACATTACTACTGACTAATTTTAATTAATAAACTCCTTAACTTTTGATAACAATTTAATGAATCATCTACCTCTTCAGATACCCCTGCAAGCGAACATTAATGTTTTTTTATTTTAATTTTTTTTTCATACAAAAATACAGAGATTTAAATAAAACATTAAAACGTACAGGAAAACTAACAAGTTATGTTTATGTATACTTTAAATAGTGACAATCAGCTAGAGAGTTCAGAGTTGGTAATCTGTTCATGAGATTTTTAGCAAAGACAAGAAACAAATGAGATTGTAAACAGGTGAAATAAATAATGTGGTACATTGGATATGGGAATTAATGAAAATTCGACTGAGAATTATCAGTTTGTACTGACGAAAACAACGCTTATTAAAATTCATACGGTTTGTTTTAAAAAATAACTTGAATCGTTTTAGTCCTCAATAATGTAATGAATATCTAGGAAATGTCTTTGGTAGCGTGTATTCATTTTGGCATAAAATTAATGTTTCTATAAGTCTAATGTTGTGTTCCCACGTCTAATTTCCGAAAGTATAGATGGAACTCTGTATACACATGTATTTTTATGACATTTATCAACGTTGTATCGAACGTTTGATTGATCACTATTTGTTTCACATGTTATTATCTTTATTTTTTTATTTTTTTTT